CCAAGACAAAGCTCTAAATAATTGTCCTGTGTATCCCATGTGAGTGTGAACTGTTTCTGATCCTCTTCTTTAATCAAAATGGAGAGGAATGCATTTACTTAATCAGTGGCCATATGCCATGCCTGAAACCTTACCCATTCACTCTTGCAGTTGTACTGTAACTGGCACAGCAACTGCAATCAGAACTACTAGTTGGTTAAGCTATAGTAATCGATAGTCATTCTCCAGCATCCATCTAGTTTCTCCAAGGGCTGAACTAGTGATTTAAGCTGAATTATAAGAGAGATCAAAGTCCCTGGGTGGCACAAATGTTTAAACATTTGACTAATTGCTGAAAGGCTGGCAGTTTGAACCTACCCAGAATAAGCTCCAAAGAAAAGGCTGACAGTCTGTTTCACAAAGGTCACAGCCTTGAAAACCCCATGGAGCAATTGTATTGTGCACAGATGGGATCACCATGAGTCAGAATCTACTTAACAGCATCCACCAATGAGAGGGACCACCATCCCTGCAAGAAGCCCTGGTGGTGCAGAGTACTTGGCTGCTATCTAAAATGTAGGTTTAAACCCACCCAGAGGCTCTGGGACAGAGAGACATGGCCATCCGCTCCTACAAAGATTATAGCCCAGAAAACTATGGGGCAGTTCTACTCTGTCATATGGGGTCACTGTGAGTCAAAAATCAACTTGATAGCACCTAACAACCATCCTTGCATCCTTTAGGTTTTAATGGTACCGCTAATTTTCTCTATCTTCCCCAACCCAGTACCCCTCAGGATGCAATCGTGACTTTTTATTTATTTTCTTGAAGTGGGGACAGTTTCACTTGACCTCCCCCATAGGGATTATTCTGCCAACTATATCAATTCCAGTCACATACCTGAGGACTAGGGAAGTGACTACTGGGTATGTCTATGGACCCAGGGGCCCCACTGAGTCAGATTCTAGCAAGGACTCCATTTGTTACTTGGCTCCATATGCTCTTAGTTTCAGGGTGATGGGACATGATGATGCTTTGCGTCTTTGGGTATCAATATCAGCTCAGAACTTGTGTCCTCACAGTGCTTGGCATTTCTCCTTTTCCTGAGTAAATGGCTCTAAGTACCTTTAGAGAACAACAAAAAGCCCAAGCTCACTGCCATTGAAACTATTCTGACTCGTAGTAACCCCCATCAGGTTTCCAAGTCTGTAAATCTTTACAGAATCAGACTACCCCATCTTTCTTCTACAGAGTTGCTGGTGGGTTCGAAGCACCAACCTTTTAGTTACAAGCCACTAGTAACTAAGTGGCCTTAACCACTACACCACCAGAGCTTTAGAGAAGGACTGGGGAAATCAAAACAGTGTGCACTTGCCACAATGCAAGGTCATTCCTCCTAGGACACTTCTTCAGTCAATAGATTCTGGATCTGAAAATTGGCTCAGATCCAGGAATTGACAAGGACTGTTGATGTTTTATTGGGTTAACCACCTCATCCTCCTAGTTCTCCATTCTTACCTTTTTTGGTTTCAGATGGTTTTGTGGCATCCTTGTTGGCTGCCCCTTGGGACACTATGCTCTATTAAGCATCTCCACACCTCCCTGTGGGTCAAGCCCCCATGGACTTCTTCATCTTGATGGTTATTGTAGTGATTGTTGCCACATTGCACATTGTGTGATCACACTGTGATGATTTTATTGGCAGCTAAGTCTACTGGTCTCTAGTAGATCAAGGAGAACAAAACCATTACCCTCAAGGATGGTATTGTCTGATGTCCTAAGCTGTAGAGGACAGTTATCTCTCACTGAGCTGGGACCCCTCACTGATGGCATGGATGAAGGAGAGTCCTCTGTGCCTTCCTGTGGAACATAATCTCGTGGGTTTTGTGGCCTCACGTAATATTCTCATCCCAGCTTGACCACTCCCTTCAACCTCTTTATTCCTTTCAGGACAACTCAGGCCTTTTCACTTCAATTAATCAAAACAAAACAAACAAAACAAAACCCACTGCCATTGAGTCCATTCCAACTCATAGTGACACCCATTGGGTTTCCAAGGTGGTAAATCTTTACACAGAAGTAGATTGCCCAGTCTTCTTTTCGCAGAGTGGCTGGTGGGTTTGAACCACCAGCCTTCTGATTAGCAGTCAGATGCCTTAGGCACTGTGCCACCAGAGCTCAATAAGCAGTGGCTAGTAATTTTTCCAGACTTCCAGGAGCCAAACTTTAAGCCAGTTTGCCCCATCTCCTGGAGTCCTTGCCAGGGTTTTAAATCACATGGCCTTAGAACATGCCCCCAAGTCAGTGATTCTTGCTTACCTAAGCCTCAAATTTCTGGCACCTCAGTTAAGCACTTTTGAAATCCTGGGCTCCCCTGGGTCCTGCTGGTAGGTGCCAGGTCATCCTTGCTACTCTTTCTGTGGACAATATTCTCCCTTATTAGGTTCTGCCAGGTTGCACTGGGATTTAACACCAGCTTTTGGCCTGGAAGCCAGGAGAGAAGTGGAGAGGATGGGCCTCCGGTGTCCCTGCAGCAGCATCCAGCAAGCAAGAGTGCCAGCTTTTACTAGGAAAAGGTGGCATTCTGTAGTTTCTGAGGGTTCAGAGGGTCTGCAGAGCCAGTGTGCTCAGGGGCATCCATCTAGATGTCACCATCCTATTTTGTTGTTGTTGTTGTTGTTGTTATGTGCTGTTGAGTTGGCCCCGACTCATAGCAACCCCTCCTTGGGTTTCCAAGGCAGTGTCACTACGGAAGTAGATTGCCCAACCTTCCTTCCAAGGAGTGGCTGGTGGGTTTGAACCGCCAGCCTTCTGGTTAGCAGTCAAGTGCCTTAGGCACTTTGCTACCAGAGTTCCTATCCTATTTTTTAGAGTCCTGAAAACCAAACCCACTGCCTGCCATCGAGTCGATTCTGACTCATAGTGACCCCCATTGGGTTTCCAAGGTGGTAAATCTTTATGGAAGTAGATTGCCCAGTCTTGCTTCTACAGAGTGGCTGGTGGGTTTGAACCAACAACCTTTAGGTTATCCCAACCCTGATCTTAGCATAACAGACTTGCCTTGGCTGAGTGTTCAGATGTCTTGGAGCTCTACAGCTGCACATCTTTAGCTTGCTTCTCCACTGCATCTGTTCTACCACTGCAGGTGAGCAGAACCTCTTTGTAGTCCATAGTGATTCTCATACTTAGCCATCCATTGCTGGTTAGAACCCTTACTCTTATTATCCCTCTGCAAGGCATCAATGCAAGTGAGCAGTCACCAGCCCACTCCCTGTCCTTATATACATTGTCCCTTTCCTGTCTTCAAATGTCTAAATGGACATGCCTGCAGCTTGTTTCCCTTCATCATGGTACCTTCCCAGGTTAGCACCACTGAAGTCTTTAGCAGTTGTCTCTCACACTTGCCAGGGAGTTATCTGTGCCCTACGTACCTCTCAGGATGGCATCCTCTTCTCCTGCCAGTCCCCACTCTCCATCTTGCTGTCTGTTTTCATAGACACTCTTAGTACCATTTCCATCAGTGCAGGCCTTTAGAGAAGTAGGTAATAAGGTGGGATTACACATGCAAGAGAATGCCAGTGAGGGAAAGAGGGGATAGAGCTGGAAGAAGCAGGGGAGCTACCAGAGTGCAGGTCTGACCCCTTTGGAGGAGAGAGGCAGGAAGGCGGGTTGGGTGAGAAGGGTCTCAGGCTACAGCTCTGAGAAAGCTTTGGCCTGGCCTCAACCCAAAGTCACCTTCAGAGGAGTCCTGTGTTTCTGGGGTAAGGGCCTGCCTCAGTATCCCTGCCCCACTCAGCCACTGGCTGAGAGCAGCTCTTGTGAAATGTGGACTCTGTGCAGATATGGGGATGGATTCAGCCCACCACTGGGCCTTTCTGGGTGGTAGGAAGTCTGAGTAGCACATTTCCATGTCCACTCAGGTGTAACAAGATGTCATTTGTCTTCTAATTTGTGTTTGTTTGCCTTGTTTGGGGATGGTTTTCAAGATTTGAAGGGCGGAACAGTCTTTGCTCTGCCATCTTAAACTGAAAGTCCTATTAAGTTTTGTAAAGATAACTCTGATTGTATTGTGGATGCTGATGGGAGAGAGGCTGTGGGTGTGGGAAGAGCTCTGAGGTACTTGAGTCTCTTTAACCCTCTCCCCACTGGTAATCATTGAGGAGAGAGGCCACCTCTTCCTTCATACAGGTGGTGCCTTGTATAGGCACCATATGTAAATGTCTCAGTTCCATATCTTATTGTCACCATTTCTCAGCAGTAAAGTATGTTTTTCCAACAAAATTAGTATAGTATGACAATTTTCTGACAGATAGAAGTGTCTGGAGATGATGGGGCATTTTGCTTGCAGGTGTCCCTGTGGAGGTGGTTTCCACTCTTGCCATTGTTAAAAACAGTGTTACACCAGCTACCTTGTCCGTGTGCCTGTGCTATTTCTAGGCCATGTTGGATTTCAGGGACTGAATTTAGCTGAGTGCTAAAATATATACATTTCCGAATTTAAAAACTCAGCCACCTAAAGGAAGCACAGATGGATACCCTCACCCCGGTAATGTGTGAGGAAGGGCCTATTTCTCTTACCACTTGCATTGGTTGCTATTGTGCCATTCTGCCATCACTGCCACATGCTTAACTGAAAGTGGTGTTTGTGGTTGTGTGTGTATATGTACATGTGTATATGGTATGTATTGTGGTATATGTTTGTGTATGTATGCGTGTACAGGTGTATGCATGTATGTGTTATATATTGGTGTGTGTGTGTGTATAAGTATGTGTGCATATTATATGTGTGGTATGTATGTAGGCATGTGTGTGCAAGTGTGTGAATGTATGTGTGTGGGAAAGTTGAACATCATTTTATGTTAGTAATTTGTATTTCTATCTGAAATGCTCATTTTTGCCAGAATCTTTGGTTTTAGAAAAGGAAACTAGAAATGAATCACTTCATCTTGTATTACTTACTTTATCAGCTCCTGAGAGGAACTCTTTGTTTGAATTTATTAATTTAAACAATTTCTTCCTAGGATTTGAAGCCTAGCAACATCGTAGTAAAATCAGACTGCACCCTTAAGATCCTCGACTTTGGTCTGGCCCGGACAGCGTGCACTAACTTCATGATGACCCCCTATGTGGTAACACGGTACTATCGAGCCCCTGAAGTCATCCTGGGCATGGGTTACAAGGAGAATGGTGAGTACTTTCTGAGTCAGACAGAATGAGTGATATTTTTGACAAGAGTGTGATTGGACATCAATACTTTTTTCCTCTTTCTTTTGAACTATATGAAATAAAATGTGGGAACTATATTACACATAGAATATCGTAGTCCATAGCCAAGAAATAATTAACTATGTATTCCTGTTAGTTAAAATAATTCAGTTTTTAAAATTCACTTTAAAATACTAATTTTTTTGAACATTTTATAAAAGTATAGCATACATATGTTTATTTAGATGGTTGGTAACTTATGTTCCCACTTAGAGAAGCAAAGCTCTGTGGGCTTCCTGTTGGTTCCTTGTGGAAGTAAGAGAAAATCAGATATCCCCTGTTAACGTCTCCCCACCCCAGCAGAGGCAATTAAATGAGCTCTCTGCCTAAGCAGTCAGAGGCATGGAGTACCGTAGGCAAGCTGGTGACACTGAATGGTTTTGGACTTCTTTTGGGAGGAGGTTTGGGAAAAAGACATGTGGGGCATCGGGCTTGATTTTAATCCCCTGATGTTTGGTAGTGGACATCTGGTCTGTCGGGTGCATCATGGCAGAAATGGTCCTCCATAAAGTCCTGTTCCCGGGAAGAGACTGTATCCTTCACAGGGAGCGACCAAGCATTGAGGGTGGGGCCGGGGCCTTACGGGCATTGCTTATTTCTGGATTTGTTGTTGTCTATTTGTTTGAAGCTGTAATGTATTGGAATCTTTGGCACTAAAACCCCAGATTGCTGCAAATTAAAGGTTAAAAATAAAGGTCAGCAATCATTCATATTGTATGAAAAGTCCACCCTTAGCTAGCAATTTATTTTTCCATATTTGTATGTTTAGTACACTGTTAGAATTCCTTTTTCTCACCTTTGTTTTGTTCATGGCACATCATAATTTTTCATTTCATTTTATTTTCAGTTGATATCTGGTCAGTGGGTTGCATCATGGGAGAACTGGTGAAAGGTTGTGTGATATTCCAAGGCACTGATCGTATCCTTCCCCAGGATCTTGAACCCCAGCCATGCTTTCCATTGCTAAGGCAGAAAGGTTCTAACTGCTTATATGAATGCACAAAGGGAAAATATCATCATTCTAAGTGGGGTTCTAATCGGGTCATTGTTACGTTTGTTAAATTAGTGTCACAACCAATGGTTCAATTTTACATTTTCTTTTTTATTTGACTACATATAATGATTTTGTTGAAGCTTAGTGTTAGGTTAAATCATTTAAATTAGCTCCTAGTTTTATCAAAACTAGCTGGACATATATAAGAAATTATTTACTCTTTGACAAATATAGCCTGATATTTAAATGAAAATTATGTTTATTTAATTAATTATATTAATTTAATTAGAAAATTGCTATCTAAATTTAAGAGGCCAGTATGCTTGTGTGATTAAATTAATATACTATTTTGTTAGTTAAAAGTATGCATTAAAACATTTTCCCTCAAAGTAAGAACTGAAGCATCTGAAGCATATTACATAAGGCCTAAGTGAAAAATGCTAAGTGAAAATTTTGTGAGGAGTTAAATTTTCCTGTTTGTTATTCTGCTGGCATTTAATAGAAGTTCATTTATAGAGCTATTTTGTGCTCCATTGGAAGTCTAAGTAAATATAAAATGCAAAACTTTATATTACACTGTGGTTAGCAAACTATATTAATGACATAGCATAAAAGAAAATAGATAATATGATAGTTACAATAGCTTTGTGTCCTCCTATAGTCATTCTTCCATCTTTAATATTTTTTACCCTAACATGGTTCTTCATGTATGCTTTTTTCATTTGTGTTCTAACTACATAATATTTTCATTAGTCTTTGATTTTTTTTTTTTTTTTTTTTTTGGTATAAAAGCTTAAAGTAATCTCTGTCCTTTGACAGATTGATAGTTGTTTTGAAAGGAAATCAAGCCTTGGAGTCAATGTTTTGTATGTATTTTATTAAAGTAATTTTAGTTTTTTGTGATTTTTTTTTAAGGGTAGTTTTTATATAAATTCTTCATAAAACAAACTTGGAATGAAAAGATTTTATTCATATCATTTTATCTTTCTTTACGTTTTCCACATCATAACCCACCCACTGCCATCAAGTTGGATCCTACTCATAACGACCCCTCCTTCACTATGGAAGTAGATTGCCCAACCTTCCTTTAAGGAGTGGCCGGTGGGTTTGAACCACCAGCCTTCTGGTTAACAGTCAAATGCCTTAAGCACTATGCCACCAGAGCTCCCTTCCACATCATAGATTTTATATTAAGTGAAATGCATTATATTTTATTTTAATACATTGTCTAGCAATTTTTCATATCCTTTTCTCAAGATTCATTATTCAGACTGTGAATAAGTAAGTCTTTATTTTGCTAGTTTACTAAAACGCAATTAAAATGGGAAAATTTGATGTATTCTAAAGATAAATTATTTCGAAGTATCTGTTTAACATTCAGTTTTTCTCAAATTGCACACATTTTGTGCCTTTCCTTATTTTATTTAAAAAGATTTTCTTTAGAAACCACAAAAAATGAAAAATGTGTTTTTCAGAACATCATTAGATAAAAAAAATTCCTACTTTATATATTAACATTTTGCAATGTCAGTATTAATAGTTTTATACATAAGGTCATCTAATGTTATTCTCAAAAAAAAATCACAAAAATCAACATTGTATTTCAAATAAAATTTTGCCAGTGTTTTCCAATATTAGATTAAAATTCTTGGTGTAGAAAAGATTTGGAAACCAGGCTGAGGTTCTGAGAGATTAGCTTTAGATTCGTGACCTGGGATAAAAATGGAAATCCTGTCCCCACTTGGAGATTGAGAAAGAGAAAGCTTTAGCCAGGCCACTTGGTCCCAACCAAGTTCTGACTTCTCCACATGGTAGCTGTGTGTTCTAGAGAAATCCTAGCCCTCTCTGAGCCTTAGTTTCTCCATTTGTAAAATGAGAGTCCTGTGGTCTTACCCCTCAGGGCCATGGGATCTACTGACAGTGGTGTATGTAGACACCCAGAAGGTCATCCAGGCATGTCTAGGTTATTTTTCTTCTTCCCACCTCCTCTTTAGTCTATAAAAATGACCCTTTATTCATTAATTGAGCAGATATTGATGGAGCACCTGCCTTTTTCTAGATTCCTTGTCTAATTTACCTTTTAAAGGGATCCTTCAGCTTCCCTACTGAGGTTTGCCATAGGCAATAATAGTAGCAGGGGAAGCAGCACAGAGCTGTACAGTTTGTGCAGCAGAGGTGAAGAGGCCTACCCAGGACGGTACACTGAAGGTGGTGAGAAGGGGTTGAACTCTGCATCTGTGTTACAGGTAGAACCTTCACAGAACCTTGGTAGGACAATCAAAAGTAGAGTTCAGGAGAGAGGGCATCATTCTGTCAATGAGATTTGAAACCTTGAGGCTGGTAATGAGTGCTTGTGGAGAAAGAAGAGAAAGGACCAAGGATGAAGCCCCCTAGCGTAGTGGAGAGAGAAGGAACAAGGGGAAGAAACTGAGAATCAGTTTCAGTGATGCAGGCAGGCCAAGAGACAAGGTGCCCTGAGGGCTGCAAGAAGAAAGATACACCCAGTCACATTTGCTGACAAGTCAAAAAAGTTACGGTTTGAGAATTGACCATTGGATGTAGTGATGTGGAGGTCACTGACAGTTTTCATTGAATGGTAGGGGAGAAAGTACGATAGGAATATGTATAAGAAATGGGAAGCAAGGAATTAGAGATACAAGTATAGAGAACTTTTTAAAAATAATTTCATTGCAAACAGAGGGAAGAAATAGGGTAATAGCTAGTGGGGATGTGGAGCCAAAAGAGAATAACAGGGGAGGAGAAAACATTATGTTTGAATTTGAATGGTGATGTGAATGCTCCAGTGGACAGCAAAATGCTGACTGTCTGGGAGCAAGAAGAAACTGCAGGAGTGATGTCCTCTGGTGGGCCGGATGTGTGAGTCCAGAGCCTAGCAGAGCTTGCTCCCTCAATGGTCATTGCTGTGCAGGCTGCTGGGTTGGGAAAATTCCCAGAGGTCTGCAGACATTCTCTTCTGATGGGTTCAGTTTTTGCAGAAAAGAGTGAGGAGGGGAAAAAGTGTAGGAAGTATAAGGAGAGAGGGAAAAGGGTGACATTTTGGCTAAATAGATAAGCAAAATTAAGGCATAATTCTGGTTCAGCACCACGTATGGAACACAGGAGTTAAGGAGATGCACTAGTGAATGTCTGAATCCCTTTTCCCGAGCAGGTCTACAGAAACTTAACATTTTGGAAGAACTGAGTTCCTGTGTCTGTTCCCTCAGTTATTTCACAGTGCAGTCATTTCATTTTTCTAAGACATGTCTTGATTACTTTTTAAAGTTGCTATTTATGTGATTTTTTTTTTCTGGCCTGTATCTTCTTTTATAATTGTTTACAGTTTCAAAATCACTATTCCACACGCATTATCCAAAGTCTAGCAACCTTGCTGTGCAATGGGCTGAGCTACATTTACAAGTAAGGATATTGAGACCCAAGGGAGATTGGCTTCCCTAATGTCTTTTGATTGTTTAGTCGCACAATTGAGACTGAAACCTAGGTTGTGTACTTTGAAAGAAAATAAATCGCGTTACCTGGGCATTGCAGGGATGGTTGTCATTAATACCAAGTAAAAGGGAATGAAAAATTCCCTGGGTGGCACAAATGGTTAAGTGTTCCACCTCTAACTGAAAAGTCGGCAATTCAAACCCACCAGAGGTGCTGTGGAAGACAGGCCTGATGATCTGCTTCTGAGAGGTCACAGCCTTCAAAATCCTGTGGAGCAGTTCTACTCTGCACACATGGGGTCACTGTGAGTTGGACTTGGCTCATCGGGAACTAATAACAAAAAAACAGAATGACATTTCAAAGATGATATTGCTCAGTCAAAACTCAGTTACAGGGAAGGAATGTGTCTAGTGGGAAAGGAGTAGGTGAAAGGATAGAAGAGCCAGGGCCCTGATGCTGCCCTTTCACTAACCATCTTCATAACCGTCCAGTCCACCTCACAGGGGCCTGGTTTCCCTAGTAGCTAACATTGCAAATTGGATAGGTCTCTCGATTCCTTTCTGCTTTGGAAAGCTGTGAGTCTTAGGTAACTTTAGTATGAAAATTGATTTCATATTTGCTTATGTAATATTTCTCTAATGGCATGTTAATCTAATTATTTCTGTTGTGTTGTTGAGTGCTGTTGAATCAGTTCCAACTCATAGTGACCCCATGAGGCAGTGGAACTGCCCCGTAGGGTTTTCTTGGCTATCGTCAGAAATAGATGATCAGGTCTTTCTCCCACAGAGCCACTGGGTGGGTTAAAACCACCAATCTTTAGGTTAGCAGCCAAGCATTTAAGTATTCTTTAATCACAGGATATCTTTATTTTGATCTAGAGTAGAAAGGTTTATAGATTCAATATGTTGATTCTAATAAACGGTAATCATAGTTTATAAAGATGCAGAGTGTAAGAGTTTTTTAAAATAGTCTAAAATTGGAAACCCAAATTTTATTTTAATATTATTTTTAAAGGCTTCTGTTGACCCAGCAGGATGGCCCATTTAATTATTTGTTGATGGATATGATTATAATTTAAGTTTTTCTTTGAGTAATGCTACTTCATGTAATATGGATATAAAGGTATTTCAGTTGTATTTTCCTCAAGCGACACCTTAGATATTGATCAATGGAATAAAGTTATTGAGCAGCTAGGAACACCATCAGCAGATTTCATGAAGAAACTTCAGCCAACTGTGAGGAATTATGTGGAAAACAGACCAAAGTATCCTGGAATAAAATTTGAGGAGCTCTTTCCAGATTGGATATTCCCATCAGAATCTGAACGAGATAAAATTAAAAGTAAGAAATTCTTTATTCTTGTATTTTTTTTCCCCACAATCCAGGGGAGGCTTTTACTTTTTCATGTTTGTACTCTAAAACCTGTGAATGTTGGAAGATAAAATAGTTTAAACTCTTAGTTATTTACTGTCTAGAAGTTTGATACATGCAGGTGTTGTAGAAAGAAAGACCTGGAAGTTTTATCCTCAAATGGTTTAACATTCTTTGGCCTTTGGCCAAAAGAAAAAGTTCAAATCAGTCGGACTCTTGTGTTAATTATAAGAATTAGGATTCTAAAAGTTTTTCAGATACAAAGAGCACTTGAATAAAGATTCTAGCCAGTTGAAGTTAGAAACGATATTATTATTATTAAGAGCTTGTTTTACATTCGACGTTACGTGTACATTTAGTTTCACTCCCCATTTACCATGTCCAACCCTAACCCAGTCTCCTCCCCATCCTACCCTTGCCCCTGTGCCCCTCATATTTATGCAATCCTGTTTGTCCTGCATTTCCCAATTTGAATTTTGGTCCTCTGGTGCCCCGTGAGCTATTGCTCTAAGGGATGTATTACCATAGAGTATGTGGGTGTGTCATCCTGGGTTGAGTGGTCTGTGTGTACATCTTGTTAAATATTGGGCTGAGACCCAGCCACTGGGGGTGAGTTTTATTCCAGGTGCAGAATATATTCCAGGACCATAGTATTGGGAGTCTTATCAGACTCCATCTGACCAGTAATTCTAGTCACTATTGAGTTTTTGGATTTTATTCCATGTTTTTCCTCCCACTCTATCCAGGATCTCCAGATTTTATCCTTTCCTGAGTGGTTGGAATTGGTAGCCGGGCACCATCTAGTTCTTCTGGTCTCGAGGGCCATCGTGGCCTATGGCTGATTGCTTTCACATGCCCTTGTTTTTCTTGCATTCTTTTTGCTTCCAACACCAGGAGACCATTAGCTGCATCTTAGACGGCTGCTTGAAAGCTTTTTTTTTTCTTTTATTGTGATTTGGGTGAAGACTTACAGAGCAAATTCACTTTCAGTTCACATATACTTTGTCTCATGTCATTGACCACAGTTTACCACAATGCAACAGCTCCCCTCCCACTTCCTCCCCATAGTTACCTCTTCCCAGTGACC